CGAATCCAGAGGATTCGAGCTTCGGGGGTTGCCTGAGCTGAAACTCCTCTTCCAGGGGCTCAGAAGCTGCCTCCATGTCTGAGGACAGGGTCTTCGCGAGATCTCTCTCTCAAAGCAAGCTCCCTCGCAGAGCTCAGAGGACAGGGTCTTCGCGAGATTTCTCTCTCAAAAGAAAGCTCCCTCGCAGAGCACAGAGGACAAAGTCTTCCCGAGGTTTCTCTTAAAAGTAAGCTCCCTCTCAGAGCACAGAGCAGGAAGTGTCCTGGGCTGAGAAGCTCTGCAAATGAAGGCCCTTGCCTCCCCACCTGCCCTCTTATAAGCCCAGAGCATGCTGGGAGGAGCCTCGAGCTCCACCAATCAGCGGTCCCCAGGCTTGATGAAATCAAGATTAGGGGGAGGGCGCTCCTGGCCCAGCTGCACCCAGGCACACCTTTCAGGTGGGGTTAACTGAGGGATCTAAAGTAGCAATAATCTCTTTAAATGTAACACTGAAAATGGAACTCCCATTTGACCCAGTAATCCCACTTTTAGGAATATACCCCAAGAAACTAGAAACACCAATCAGAAAGGATATTTGCACCCCTATGTTCATAGCAGCACAATCTACAATAGCCAGAATTTGGAAACAGCCTAGGTGTCCGTCAGCAGATGATTGGATCCAAAAACTTTGGTACATCTACACAATGGAATACTATGCTGCCATAAAAAGAAGGAATTCTCATCATTTGCAGCAACCTGGATGGAATTGGAGAACATCATGCTGAGTGAAATAAGCCAATCAATGAAAGAGAAATACCACATGACCTCACTCATTGGTGGACAATAAAGCTCTTTATGAACTGATGAACCAAGAGACAGAGATAGAGAAAGTAAAGCAACAGGCAGACTGTCAAATTACAGTGGGGAGGGGAGGAAGATTTGGGGGAGATAATAGATCAAACGAAGGACTTGTATACATGCATATAAGTACAACCAATGGTCATAAAACTCTGGGGAGGGAGGGGATGGGTAGGAGGGAGGGAGGGGGGTAAAAAAAATCAATAAAATATGTAAAAAAAATCAATAAAAAAATAAATGTAAATGGCTTACATGATCCCATTGAGATACAAATGGAGCCCTATCCGTGTGGCTCAGTAGATTAGAGTTCCTGTGAGACATGGGGAAGCCCAG